TGCCTCACTTTTGTTTCTCAACTGTTGATTTTATGGCATAATAAATAATACAAACTATGTATGTTTCTTGGATTTATGCAGTATGTTTGAAAATAACTGTTGCCTCTATTTATTTAAATATAGATACTACATTCACTTATTGACGTTCCTATCAATAAAGACTTCATATTGCAAAACATATGACACATTAATTTGAGAATTTGTTTTCTTTCTGATGGCATATTCAGTAGCCTGTTGCTTCATTGAGTGCCTCTAGAGAGTTGAGTTTGGGTCTCAACGTGTTAAAAAACACATTCTGAAAATAAAAAAAAAGATTCTATTAAAAAAGTGAAATTGTTTTTTCTGGGAGCACGCACACCATTTTCTTTTAAAATGATTTTGATGATACTAGCAGCACTGCTCAAGTTTTCTTTGGATGTCTATGAGACTATCTATTTTATCCTTCAATATTGGTCTAGAGGGTAGAATAAGCTTGAGATTTAGATTGAAGTCTTAAAAATGTATGTAAATGTTCGCACCTTTCAATACTATTTCAGTATTCTTCCATGAACTGAGAAATATTCTTTGTTACCTAATGTTGTTGTAAATGACTGACACAAAAAAAACCCCAAGGATTTCAAAATTTGGCATAGGATATTTTAAATATGCATGAGAAAAAGTAACAGTACACACTATCTGATGACCTGATAGTTACTGTTTTATTTGTTACCTGCAGTTTCAGCTGAAAGCAAAGTAATTATGGATAGTAATATTTACCTAGTAGGTCTGAGCCCCTGCAATCCCAAAACTGAATCTTTGTCCATTTCCAGTGACATAGGTCATAGTTTGATGTCACTGTTCATGTTTTTACATTTTTTATGGGTTTTAGTGGCTTACGTAGAGTTTGGTGTTGTCTGAACTTCATGGTACAGAAATCATTCTTACACTACGTTGAAACTTGGGAAGGTTCCGCATATGTACACATCAGCAGCTTTAACCTGTGAACCAGTAAATGCAGAAGTTAACTATCGGCGGTTGCTGTCTGTGCTGTACCACCCTTCCTCATCTGTATTTCTTCCTCTTCTGAAGAGGGTGTTTGTTTTGTAATGAGCTGCGGTGGGCTACCATTGTATTCTTCTGCGTATCTGTTGTCAACACATCGATTTTGCCATTATGCTGCAGGATGGAAATTTAGCAACAGAGCCAGAGGCTGATGTTCCACTATTGGCTATCAGTGGAAGAAAGTGTTTGTTACCTCTCCCCAACATTACTACGGCTCAGTGTTGCCTCAGTAAAACTCTGGGAGCTACTATTTGAATTCCAGAATAGTTTTCCAGGCATCTTGTTATATTATTGGTGCCACTCATTCTTAAAAGAATTTATAGTTGCTTACTCCTCTAGAGCTGGGCAATAGTGTCATTCCAGTGTCTTCTACTAAGATGACTACCTCAGGGATTTAAGTAGTTTTTCAAAAATGGTATCCAAATGCATGTAAACTTTGTTCCCTTCCTTACTGTGTATCAACAGGAAGAGACATTTCTCTTCCAGTTCTTCTGACTTTTGTCTCTGGATGTCTAATGTTTGCAACTGTGTTAACAAGCCTCAGGTCGGCAAAACATCTCTTGTTGGAAAGAAAGAGAATAATAAATATGCTTGTATATGGCTTTCTACGAGATCAACCTAATTTCTTATACACAAGAAAGTGTGTGCATTGGAGCAGATCCCAGTATAAAATTCTTTTGCATACAGATTCAAACTCTTGTTGTTGTGACATAAATGCATGTTTCAAAAGATGGAAGGGAACAGGTGAGAACTGAGAACAAACCTTGCAGAACAAACATGCAACCTTCGTCCCTTCTATTGATTTGCTTACATTTTCATTCATACATATTGAGCTTTTTTCCCACTTTGAAGTAATGCAACTGTCCCTAACTCATGCTGATAGATGCAGCATGTGAGATTAAGTTTCTCAAAGAAACATTAATCCAATTACTTGTTCCTCAGGTGAAAAAAAAAAAAAAAAAAAAAAAAAAAGCAGGTTTTATATTATGAAAACTTTACAATATGTATGATAGTATATTGAACCAGATATTTAAATAAGAATATGAATGAAAAATACTACAAAAAAAAACAGAAAACATTAACATCAACATTTGCCTTTAATTGTACAATCTAAAGGTAGTATTAACACATGATTATACATTATTTTTCTAGTTTGGTGAAAAACAATTCCATGTGCTTATTCATAGTTTTAGTGGTTCCAATTGGCTCTTGAAAGTCTTTCACTTCAGTGAAGTGAATGGGATGTGGTAGACCTGAGTTCTAATCTTCATTGCTCATTTCACTTTGACCAATGAGATTTCTGCAAGCCTGGGTTAACAGGGCTCAGGTATTAGATTACAGAGCAAGGGTATATCATTTAAAAATTTATCCTTTTAGAATTGATAGCTTGTTAATATTGCACAGTGTTACCATTGTTGAAACATTCTGTAGAATTGTAAGGCTGAATTTATTAGCCTTCATTCAAAATATTTGAGAAATTAATTAGTGAATGCTGTTCAGAAAAGATTTTTGATACCATTAAGCTCTGCTAAAACTCAAGCAGATTCCAGCTTCCGAGTTGTTTTTTTCAGTCGTAACTTTTCTTTTTAGTGATCCCGGCAGCCAAGAGGGGGTGCAGAAGAGATATAATCTTGCCAAATTCCTTTTGGCTGTTTTAAATGTATTTTTGTTCAAAACATGCTTGGAATTTGGAATTGCATTACAAATTAAAAATAATTAAATAAACAAAAAAAAAAGACAAAGCATAGGATCTGCGCTAATACAAATTAAGAAGTGTTGCAGTTACTACGTCACTCCCAGCAGCTGATGAAAAAGTAGCCTGAAGAGTTTCTTTCCTCCAGGTTCTTGCTAGTCACAGTTAGCACTGATTGAAACCTTTTCCTAAATTGACTGACATACCAGCATTTTCAAAGATGTTGTGGGAATGTCATCCACTTGTAGAACCATATGACTAGCTTCAGAGTCTGACCTGTTGTGATGCACAGGGGAATGTGTCACTCTTGAGGCATCTCCACCTTTAGGGAGGCAGCTTGGCAGTAGTTATAATGGCCAATGATACCACAAAATTTACAGTGGCAAATGAAAAATATTATACATGATAGAAACAGGGGGTTTATTTAGATAGGCATAATATACTGTAGTTACTGAAGTATCAATGACTGTGAAAGAAGGGGCCAGATTTTTCTCAGGCTGTGTCTGCTGTATGCCATGAGTTGTACTTAAAGGAGACAGAATTGCAGTAAACAGACATAGGTAGCTCACTACAGAAGGTGAGGAGATAAGGAGTCAGTGAGATGACCAGATAGTCTTTGTGACTTACAGAGCAGGGGATGTGCCAGGTAGGAAGGAAGCTGCCTCACACCATTGGAGTAAGTTACGGCTATTTTGGTGACCAGGGAATACTGGCAGTTGGCAGAAGCTAAAGCAGCTCTACCCCTCAGGCTACTTTAGTTGTCTTTGCTCTTATTCACAGTATTTTTGCTTTTCAAAGTAATTAATCAAGAGCTTTTGTTTTTTTAGAAAAATATCCTTCTTGAAAGATGATGCATTCAAAAACACATTATCTCTGGTCCTAGCATGGATCATGAACTCACTCCCTCCTCAAAAGAATAGGAGCATAGTTTCCTGGCTTGCCAGCTATATTCCCCAAATGTTTCCAGCAACTCTGCATTCAAGCTTTATCTAAAACAAAGTTTTAAAAACCTCATCGGCACAACTCAGCTTGAAAGACTGAAAAATGTCTAACTTTAGCTTGCATATATTTAGAACACTTTGCAAAACCAGTCTAGTCTGTCAGTATTTAGTATAACCTGCTCTGTGACCCTCCTTAGCAAAGGAAATCTGGTGGCATCTTGCCCTGGTGTCACAACAGTAGTTTCCCTCTTTCTGGTTTCATCTGGTCTCCCAGGGAGAAGTAATAGTCTTCCACGTGAAAGTGAGAGAAGGAGATGTTCACCTTAAGGACATGCATTGAAAATAAATCTGAAACTCATTTCCTTGCACATAATCTGGCTTTTTACATTGAAATGATCTTTTGGATTTTAGAGTGCTTGCAGAAAGTCTGTGAGCAAGTCTTGGGCTACTAATACCATCAAATGGCTTATTCTGTTCTTGAGATTTGTTTCAGTAGAAGGTGCAGGAAATATAGATTTAATTTTTTTATTCAAACTCAGTAGATGGTTTGGGACAATTAATTTCCAATTGTTTCCCAGTAGAGCAGATTTACTTGTATATTAATGAGGCACAGGTGTTAGGCCCCTGGTGCCTGCATGCCTGGGAGGCATATTTAGGTTGTTTATCTAGTCAGCCATAGGTACTGCAAGGTACTCAGGCTTGCCTTTAACAGTTTATACAGTGAGTCTTTTTAATTTTTTGATGTTTTTTTAAATTTGCTAGCACCTGTTAAAATTTTAAAACTGATCATGTAGAAAGAAGTAGGCGTGATTCCAATAGTAAATAGCACTAAATGTTAAAGAAAGTCATCTTCTATTATGCTTAACTGCCCAGCTTGACATTAAGAAGAAAAGAAGGTTCATTTAAGCAAATACGTCAAGTGAGAAGCTAATACAGTCAACAGTATACTTTTCAGTTGCATATTTTTGGAATAGGTACTTCTTTGTCTACAGCTGAAACATGAATGTGTTTATATTAATATTCATTTTTCTTGTTTATTCACTGAACTGCAGTACCAACATTTTAGAGGAAATGGAATAGCCTCCATAGACATTATAAATTTCAGTAGCTGGCATAATTATAGCGATCTACATATTCATTAAATCCAAAGAAGAAATGTGTCCAAAAAGACAGCCATGCGTTTAGAAATGGTACACAACTAAATATATACATTTTTTAAAAGTTCCTTTCCTCTGCTTATCCAAAATTGCGTAGCATCATATAGTCCTTAAATCAGCTAAGGCTTATTTTGATTAAATGTTCGTTCCTTTTGCTTTTGCACACAGTAAAGAATGGGAAGAACTATTTGTAAACAACAATTACTTGGCAGCTATACGGCTGAAGGGGATTAATGGGCAGCTGAGAAGCAGCAGGTTCCGTAGTGTTTGCTGGAAGGTAAGAAGAGAAAATATTTATTTACAGTTTGTGGTTGCAATATATCAACACATTACCTGATGCGCTGGAAGATTATTGATGCAAAGAATCATGAATTTTCCGAGAGACTTCATCCCAATGTTTTCCTACTCATTTTTATAATTCATAGGACATTTGCTAATCATATTGAGTTGCCTTAAAGCTGAATTGTGGATGGTAGCAAAAGATTCCTGGGAAGGAATATCTTTGTGCTGGGTGGCGTGTTTAGAATTGAGTGCCACACAGCCATCTCTCCTCTCAGTCTCTGTGTAGTGAAGTCATGCAGGGGAAATAAAAAGGAAGTTTATGTTTTCTTCCACAATTTATGTTTTGTGGAAGTTGGGACACCCTTAAATCAGTCTGATGCTTCTGCTAGCAGCTTCTTCCAGCGAGATGAGAAAATGAAGTCCAATCCCTCTTGAAATAACTGGATAGAGAGGGAATCCTGGTCTTCCAACACAACAGGTTCTCAGAGGTCTCTTACTGTGTTTTTTAAAGTTGCAGGGGAAGGAAGAGAGAAAGAAAGCAAATACTGAGGCACTATATAAAGTCCAAAAGAATTCTTCTGCACTGTCACCAGGTCTTCTGTGCTGCACTATATAATAGCAAACATTCCCTCTAGTAGAGTTAATGTATATTAGCATTGATAGTTTAAATTGCCTCACTTGGAATTTCTTATGCTTCACTTTGCCACAAATATCTATAGAAAGAAAACAAAAATAGTGTTTGTATTAATGTGAATTAAATAAATTTGAAAATTGAAAATTTAAGTTTGACATATATGTAGCACTGTACAATTTAAAAGTTAATTAAAGTGAATTAAAATTTTCTTCAGAAGGCCAGGAGTATTTTATAGGTCTTTGCTTTCTTCTTACGTGTAGAGTACCTGCTCCTCCTTTCTGCGATGGTTTCAGCTCTCTGGTAGGATCTATGTTGAATTGATAAAACCTAATGGATTTGTTTTGTTTTGTTGCTAGCTGTTTCTGGAGGTTCTACCCCAAGACAGAAGTCAATGGATTAAAACCACTTCAGACTTAAGAACTTCTTACAATAAGATCAAAGAAATTGTAAGTTGGTACAAAATAGATTCTCTGCTCTTATGCTTTGACATAGATCATAGAATCATAGAATGGTTTAGGTTGGAAGGGACCTTAAAGATCATCTAGTACCAACCCCCCTGCCATGAGCAGGGACACCTTCCACCAGATAAAGTTGCTAAAGCCCCATCCAACATGGCTTTGAACAGCTCCAGGGACAGGACATCCACAACTTCTCTGGGCAAGCTGTTCCTGTGTCTGACCACCCTCATAGTAAAGAATTTCTTCCTTATATCTAATCTAAATCTGGCCTCTTTCAGTTTAAAACAATTACCCTTGTCCTATCACTACACTCCCTGGTAAAGAGTCCTTCCTCATCTTTCCTGTAGACTCCCTGTACATAATGGAAGGCCATTATAAAGTAAAGATATTAATAGAGTGTAACAAAAGGATTTGGTTTTCTTCTGGTTTTACCCAGCACATTACAAATCCTCGGAAAGCGGGACAGCAAGATCTGATAATCAACAACCCACTCTCTCAAGATGAGGGGGTAAGTTGACCGTTGGCTCTGTCAACATGTGCTACTAAAATTTTCATTTTCATCATACTGACACAAGTGAGTTCTTGATGAAGAAGGCAAAATGGCAGGTGTTAAAATCTCCCTCTTAAATTTCCAAACTGGCTTGTGTTAACAATTGGTTCACGGGCTCTGCTGAACAACCAGAAATGCTCATTTCCAGGTTAATATTCTGATTGTTCAGAGCTTATCGCAGGGATGGCTGCGATGAACGAAAAATCACTGCTGGACTGTAAGTCCAGCTTCACAGTATATCCTTTCTTTAACTGATATGCTTTTTTATCTCTGTGTTTTCATTTTAAACATGAAATAATTTTACCTTGAAAAAATAATAGTTGAAGGACTGTTTAAACAGTCAATATGAAGGTAATGCTCTTAAGTGCAAATACTGACAAATAAGACAGCTTGGCCTTGGAAGTTTTTCTCCAGCAAAAATAGAATTGTACACCTGAGTTGTATACCTGCTGAGTTAAGTATAAAGTACCAGGCTGCAAAACAGGCATTTCTTCCACGGTTTTTAATTCTTTTTCTTTATAGTTAAAAGAAACAAAACTTTCTTTTCTAATGAGAAAGCAGTGAGCTGGAAAATAAGAGATCCAGATTTTAAAGACATACTGAAAATGGGGTAAAATTATTTGACCTGGCTGTCATTAAATGCAGAACATCCAGCTATCATTGAAATTAGGACTTCCTAGAAGCTTTGTATTTTTGAAGTCATAACACTTTGAGGAGAGCTTACATGTAGATTTGGAAGCTTTTAAAGCTTAAAAGTTTTAGGTAACTTTTTTTTTTTTACAGTTTCAGCTGCATTTTCTTATACTTGAAAAGCTCCTAAGTATTTTATAGGGCATATCTTTTAAGCTTTTCTGTTAATTACGTTAACACTTCGAAAATTCTTTTTTATCAGATTTTCAAAAGAACTTAATTCTATTAAAATAATTTGTTTGGCTACATTTTGGAGGTTTACACCTGGAAAGACACAGATATCTTTGATGGGCTTACTTGTTCTTCCATTTTGTTCATAAATGGAAGCCCATATTTTTTCTGCTTCATATTTAATGCAGGAAGGAGATTTGCTTGTTGAAAAGTGGCAGTATTGGTTATAGGCACATTGGTGGCTGCAGCCAGTATGACACTGCATGCCATCAAACCGTTCTTGCATCCAGATGGACAGAAGGTTGTGTCCAATGTGAAAGATTTAAAGTGTTTCTGCTATAGGTTGTGATTGTACAGTGACAAAGTGTTATTTTTGGCTATGATGTCTTCAGACAATAGAAGACAAAGGTTAACATATCAGAGTATGTGGCAGGGAATTAATCTACAAAACAAAACCACAGCCCAAATCAGGCACAGGAATGAAGAGTGAAATGCCTTTGAGCCTCTGCAGTGACAATGTTTTACCCTTTCAGTGTTCTGGGTTTTGCTTCCTTTTGACAAAGTAGATTCTGTTTCCTTCCTCCTTTGCTGTGGTGGAAGAGGTGTGGGACCAGGGGCAGGGGAGTTTTAAAATATGACATAGCTGCGTGAAGGACCTGCAAGTTAGAGATGCTAATGTAATGTAAGGCATTGTCAAGGATATAAATACTTTCAAATTTGTTTTTTTCTCATAGTCTCTAATACACATATAGAAGCTATTTAACATTTTCTCTTTGGTTATTTTACCTTCTGTCTGCTAGATAACAGTAATTTACTTTCTCTTTTCTTTCTGTAGAGTGTAAACCACTATGGGAATGAATTGTATATAGGGGAGCAAGAAATTCTGGAAATTTTGTAGCTGCTCTCTTTGTACAGCATTTCATTCACTGGTGCTGCTGCTATCTGAAAAGCAGCCTGCATGAAAAGACTGCTGTAGATTTTGTTCCTTCTGTGTTTTCATCAATATGGCTAAGCTGCCATTCCTTTAGAATAAAGAATAGGCTTTACAATAATTTTCTAGAACATACAAATAACATTTGCTGACTTCTTTCATTTTCTTATAATAGGTATTTGATCATACCTTCCTTATTCGATTTCACCACCACTAAAACAAACTAACTTGCTTCCAAACAGTTTCTTAGTATGGAAATTATAGCAGCTTCTAATTAGAGTCTGTACATTCTTAGGATAAATGTAGTACAGTATAGTGTACAAACCTTTTAGAGTGAACGAACTACTGAATTTCTTTCAGTTGAGCTGCTGGTTCTGGTAAATTTGAATTTACTCTGCCTTTCTAAGTATTCCACATAGACTACTTACAAGTGACTCTCAGAACTCCATCCAGTAAGCACATGGATTGAGCCTAGAGCAGGGATCCAGGAGCTTGAACGTTTTCATCTGTGATCTAAACTGACTTTCTCAGACACATTGGGCTATTCAACAACATTCTTTTTCACCCATAAAATATTGATAAACCTTTCTACCAGGAATGTTGATGATTAATTAGTTAATATTTGTACAGTACTTTGCTGGTGTAGTATGTAAGCCTTAAGCATTAGTAGAAGTCTCTGACACAATTATTTTTCCTTATTTCAGAGTCTTTGGAATAAATTTTTTCAGGATAAAGAGCTTCGAGCAATGATTGAACAAGATGTGACAAGAACGTATGTAGATCTTTAAAGAAATTTCTATATATGCATTTAGATTCTGCGTTTTTATGTGGTATATATTATATTGTGTTTTCTTGACTTCAGTTAGTGTAAATGTCAGGATCATTGAACATGAATGTGTAGAAACATATATTAAATGTATAAAAATACGGCTTTCTTGGAGTGAAAAGCGAGAAAATAGATTTAAACATTAAACCCTGGAGATTTATTGGTATCATTGAAGAAAAGCTCTTTTAAATTAAGTTATTAGGAAGTGTACTGCTATGTGAAATTCAAAGAGCAGTTTTCCATAGGAAGCAAAGAGAAGGTAAGAGAAAGTGAAAGGTCTTCTAACTAAATTATGATTGTAATAGACTGAACAGATTACTTTAATTCTTAACAATTAATAATAAAAAAGCAGGTTTTAATGAATAAGAGAAATGTCATTTATCTAGAGAAGTTAAGCATTTCTATTTTTATTTATCCCTTTTCCAGTATTATTTGTCACATATGCCTTTTAAAATTTGTCCCAATATTACTGTGGTTAGTTTTCATCTTCTCAGCCCTTAAGACATTCCTGTCTAGGAACTTGTTTGAATTCCTGAAAACATTTCAGAGTGGAAGCTTTTAACTGATGTGTACATCTAATTAAATTCAATTACTGATTTGCTACCGTGTTACATTTTACTGTATTTCAAATAGTTTTCCTCATAACTTGGAAAAAGTGGTGATAGTCATAGACTTTAAAAATCCCAAGCTCACACAGTTTCATTTACAGAAACAAAGTCATGCAGAAGAAATCATTGCTGTCTGTTTTTGGGATGTTTTACGTGTCCATCCCTAGATCCAGTCCTGAATCCATTTTGCCATGAGATGTATAATTAAAATCTGAGTATGCTTTCATGTGCATTCTAACAACAGATGGTATTTTTTGTTTGTTAAGGGAAGCAGTTCAGGATGTTCTAAGATTAAAATATATATGTATCGAAACTGTAACTGGAGAATGAAAAGTTGTTTGGAGGTTGTGTTGGATGCAAGACTGTTATTTTAAAATACATACATATACACAAAGTCCAGGGTTTCAGTCTGGCAAATCACAGCGTGAGTAATATTCACCAATATCAGTAATAGTGACTAGAGACATTTCCATTTAGGTATTTATACAAAATAATGTCTTCTTGAATCAACAGCAGTATACATTATGTGTCATCATATCAAAGTTAGTCAAAAAATGAAGGAGCAAAATTTGTCAAAGTAACATTATTTTATAAACTACATGCATTTATATATATATTAATTGTTTAACTAATCATAAAACATCGTGTGCGTTTTATGTATTTATATGTATCTGTTTGTAAAATATTGTTAGTGTAAGAAGGAACAAGTTCTACATTTCTTGGCTTTGGAATATAAGTACCCTTTCTTTAACGTTGTCCGTGTTCATTTCCATTCTTTAAATAAATTGCTTGGAGTTGGAATTTAAAAAAATTGTCATTAACTTACAATGCCTTTTACTAAAGTTAAAATAATTGAGTATTATATTCAGTTACCATAATCATTGACTTCTAGCTTCTGTTTCTTATTTAACAAATATTTTTTATGTTCTTTGTTGAGTTCAGTACTTCATCATCCACCAACATAAAGTAAATAATACCATAGAGAGTGATGCTAACTGCACACAGAGTAGCAAACCAGAGTCATAGCTATGAAAGCAGAAAAAAATTTACTCTGTTTGTATTAGAATTCTCTGAAGTGTAGATGGGAAAAGTGGGCAGACATACGTTTTTTAAATTGTTATTGGTTTAAATTGTTTCAAATTTAAACTTAAATTACCTAAGGGGAACTGTGATGAAGTAAGTTTGTATATGTGTGTTCATATGCATTTTGTGAATACTTACCTTACTTAGTAACTAGGTTTGTAAAACATAGATGCTCATAAATTAGCTAATCATCCTTTAGAATCTATATATCTAAAGAATTTTAGGACACAATCTCTTCCTAAAGTACAGGTCTAGTATAGGTCTGATGAATCACACTGTAACGAAGTATGTTTTTATTCAGTAATTGTAAAAGGTTTATAGCTCACCTGTACCTAACTAAACTGTAGTCACCTAAAGTCAGGTGAGAGTAATCCAAACCATAATGTCTAACTATAATATTTTGCCTGTTGCATGATAAGAACTTCCAATATTTACAAGGGAAGTACAGAAGGATTTTAAGTTAGTCCTAACTCCTTAATATTCAGCATTCGTAGTCAATCACCTGACTTATTTTTTATGGTAGTTGAGAGACTCAGAATGGATTTTCCTTCAGCTGTCTAGAAAAGTTGAGCTGGAACGAAACACCATCTCCTTCTATCGCAAGTGAGAAGCTTCTAAAAATGAGGATGGGAAAGAGAGTAAGGGAGGTTTACTATAATACAAGTAAAATTCTTTTACAAGTAACATTCTTTTAAATGTAGGTAGCAATGCCAACCCAGTTAAGACTGTAATACTGCATTCAATTGTTCTACTAAGAAAGGAAAGTCTATATGAACTAGCACTATAGTAACTCAGCACAGACTTAAGACCACAATGATTAATTACTGTCATTCAAAACATGTACCAAGGAACAGTGCTGTTTTATTTTGTGATGGTTTAGAAAGTAAGTGATAAATAAGATTTTTTTTAAAATATTCTGCAGAAATGGAAATACTGGCAGATGCCAGAGTATCTAGCTAGCAGTCAAATCAAAATCCCAGTGTATTTGCTGGTGTCATCTTGTACATCTAGGATTGTAAATTGCTAGATTGGATTACCCTCTTTCCCTCACTGGTATTTTAAGAAAACAAAATGCTTAGAGGGCATTCCTCGTAGACTAATCAAGTGGTTTTTTTTTACTTTTGTATTAGTATTTTTATATATTGGTCTATGTAGTTTCTGCTTCAGGAGTAACAATCAACAGTTCAGGACAGTGGAAGCTGTGTGAAGAGGAGTAGTGGTGGGTGCTGCTCTTTCAGCCTCTTCATCTCCAAATACCAAAAAGAAAGCCCCAAACAGACCCATAAAAAATGTAATGGAGAAGTCATTAAGCAGCTACATCCTTCCTGAGCATATAGAAGAGATGGGAAGAAACAACAATCCATTGAGTATGAAAACAGGAGACAACATCTAGTTTCTATGTAAGAGGAGAGACTACTGGAAAGGAGAACTATCTGTATATAATTTATTCCTTTTCAAGATAACAGTGAGCAATACAGGGAACAGTTATTGTTATTCTTTTTCAGACCTTTGCAGTTGCAAGAGCATCTTCCATTTTTCCTGGTTTAGTAGCTTTCCCTCTTCCAGCTGACTAACAGCATTGGGGAATGGCAGAGGATGGAATCTGTTCATGAGGGAAAAGATGGTCACTTCATGACTGGTTAAGAGCCTAGTTTTCCTCTGCCACCAATTTTTTTCCATTGAGTATTTGTGCATCCTTATATTTGGTTGCCAGCCTAAGTTTCTTCTGTGTCAAAGTCTGCCTGCCTCTGGTGTAGGGGCCTCTAAATGGGCTAAAGGAATGTTTTAAAACATGATAACTAATTCACACCAGTCTTCACTTCAGAAAGCAGGGACTTGAAAGCATCATTATTTAATTGTAGCAGTTGTGGTAAAAGTCTAGCAAAATTCCCCTGTTCTTACACAGTCTTTCTCAGAAATGTAATTAAACATAATATTCTAGTATTCATGAAAAGTATTCTTACCTTGTGTGATTTGAGGATACTCTTATTTCTAAAACAGTGCTTTAATCATAAAATTACATTCTCCATAAAAATCCATCCTGAACTGATAGTTCCCTCATGATCTCTTGTATTTACATTTACTATAATTAATATTTCAGCCAGCTTATTTCTGAGTTCATTATTATCCTTTCTGTCACAATCTCTGGTATTACTAGATCCTCACAGCTATCTCTGTGTATTTTTTAGTTTTCTTTGTTAACCTTCTCTTCTTAAACTGGATAGGGCAGGCCTGAATAACAGTCCTTTAGAAATAATCTCTTCAAACCCCTAAATTATGTCGATTGCCATCTGTTGTAATGCACTTTTGGTCTCAGCTGTGTCCTTCCTTTAGAGTAATATGATTAGTAGGAGTGCATACAAGTTTCCCAATGTTGCTCTACTGTTACCCCTGCCAGGTGCCAGGAAAATGTTACACCCTTCATCCCAGTGATGCCTTTCTCAGGATTTCAGCTTTGCAGTGTTTAAGCCACAGTGTCTTCTCTGCCTTGGCTCCTGATTCAAGTCCTTCATACAAGGATTTCAAAGCACCTTGTAAAGTTTAAGACGGATACTAAAGACAGTGAAATGCCTAATTATATTGCATCGTAAGATGCCAAGGATATATGTTGGAGTTTAGGATACTGTTTTTCATGTCAATGATGAGATATTTTAATAGTCTTGTCATTAAAATACTAATCATTTTTCAAATGTTCATAAAATATTGAATCCTTTTGTATTTGCTTCTTCTGACATACTCTTCTTTCTTCCATTTTATTCCAGTTTAGAACTGGAAATTTTTCCAGACTTCCTTAATGTATTGTAAGTCTTGTACTCTTCCTTTGCCCAACTTTTATCTTGAGAAAAATGAAAAGCAGGGCTAAACACTATTTGTGGAACTGCAGGGCAGACTGCTGGTTCAATTACAGTTGCAAGCCTAATTGAGATTTTAAAAATGAGAGGATGTCATATAAAGTATATTTTGATTTGATCAAAATCAGTATCAAAAGTTTTGATCTTTGATGCTTATTTTTCAAGTGCCTGAACCAAATTAATTAATAGATAACTGTTTACAACAGTTTTAGTATTAACTGACTTGGTTTTTTGAGAGAAGAAGCGTCTGGTTTTCATCATGCTTCTTTTCTACACTGTTGCTAGCAAGTTTTAGATTTACTAGTGAAGGACTGTGGAGCACAGTGTTGGAGTTAAGTTACTTTTGGGAAACTCTGCCACCTGGGACCAGAATCGTCTTTTGGGCTGCTTGGTTTGGCAGTAAGAGTCTGTGCAGGAGGGAGAGGGTAGATCTTTGCTGCAGTCATTGCCTCTCATTCTGTCTCCTTCCATTCTGCGTCAGTTCAACTTCTTTTCACGACATGGAGGAGGAAAAAATCTTGGTCCTGGCTTTATTTTGATTGATTTCTCCAAGTCATTTTCAGTGGACTGGCTATGTGTAAGAAGTTGATGATTTAAACAATCTGCCACTGTATTTCATTCTTCCAGATCTCTAGTTTTCATAAAGTTAAAAGGGGTTACTCATATAGCTGGTGATATCATTTTATCTGTGTAGCAGACTGGTTTGTTCAGAATTTTGGTCGCAAAACAAATATAATAAGCCTTTAGAAGTATTCTTACACTAGCAGCACCCACAATTCACAGAGCAGTGGGAAAGCAGACAAGGGAGGTGCTGTCTTACCTAAAGCTGTTTCTAGAAGACCAGCAACTGAGATTCTGTGTGCTATATTGTTTACTTTTGCTGTATTTCTTCATTTTCAGCTTTCCTGAAATGCAGTATTTCCAGCAGGAAAATGTGAGGAAAATTCTTACAGATGTTCTGTTCTGCTACGCCAGAGAAAATGAGCAGTTGCTTTATAAACAGGTAATGAAAGTACTGTACCGGTGGCATTCGTTGACTCAACATCTTCTATACAGTTTGACAATAATGTAGTTCTGTTGTATCCAGAGTTGTATCGTAATGCTAAAGTAATCAAAGAGCTGCTTGTCAGCTGGATAGTAAGAAAAGTAAGTTCATTGAGTAACATATGCTTTTTCCTCATAAGACAGTCCATCAAATTGTTTTCTTTAAAGTTGCCAAGTTGTCTAACTTCAAATTTCTTCATAAACAACATCTTTTTCTTCAGTGTTGATTAAGAAAGAGAAAGAAAAAGAAAAAGAAACGTTTTCTGTGCTTATGTAAAGAAAGAAAGTATGCACCAGTATTAGAAATTATAATGAATAAATATAAAGAGCAACACAGGAAATTTAGGCAAAGTTACTGCTTTAAGTTTCACGTAATGTAAGTTCTTCTTCAGAGTGTTAAAGCCATGTGGTACGTTAGCAAATAGATCCTTTATCTAACCCTGTAGCATCCAAGTACAATGCAGCTGACAAATGCTTCTTGACTGAAGAATAATGATGCTATAAATACTACTTTTACAGTGTTACATGAAGCAGAGCCTGCTCAAACCATTTTTGATAAAATGGTAAAGAAAGCTGTAAGTCTGAACTGTGCATCCATATGCAATGCAGGGTAAATTAATTTAACATTTGTTCTGAAGGTTTTGAAGTGAGTATAAGCTTCATACTAAATTAAAGTAGCAAGACCAATATGCAGACTATTGACATAAGTATATTTGTATTTGTTTATTCAGCCTCTCAACTGTAGGGTGAGTAGGGACTGACAAAGTGAGGGATACTCTGTGCATGGAGAAAGGATAAACTGTAGAGTAGCATACTTCAAGTAGAAAAAAAATACAATCCAAAATACAAATACTTCCTGACAAAAATACAGAATTCTGGTAAATGTGAAGATTTTTATAAGATCCTGTATGTTTTCATGCATGGTCTGTGACCACCCTATCCTCGAGCAAGGAAATGAGTGACTTCTTGTGAATAAAACAACAGATATGAGTTCAAGCAACAGTTACTTCTGTACAACTGTCTTACGGATTATATCAAAAATCAAATGTATAGTTATCAAACAAATGAAATCTCTATCAGCTGGTTATTTCTCATGTTTGACAGACAGTAAGCAAGGAACAATCTTGCATAAGAACAAGAGAAAATGAGATTTGTGAGCTCTATTTTGAAGAGCACTGCTAATGAAAACACTTGAGCAATATTTGGCCTCCCCTTTCTAGTTAATATAGGCCAGAGCGCTGATGATAGGAAAATAGAAGAACACATTCCAGCTAATTTAGTCCATCACTTATTGAACAAGAAGTATTATTTTACCCTTTGATATGACTTAAAAGGACTTAATTATCCTCTGCTTATATTTTAAATCCTCTTGATACCTTACCAAGAAATAATACCTTTCTACATAAGGATGGAATATTTAGCCAGATCAAATTTAAAAAAAAAAGAAGCCCTGAGTTTCATCACAAGCTGTTAAAGCTATTATTTTCTACTAGGTGACACCCCGTTTAACATAGACCATATTGTTAATAGTTATGGGATTTTATTGAATTAATGAGACTGTTATCATGTAGTAGAATGTCTTGCTGAGTTAATTGAAACTGCAGAGATTATATAAATGGTATTAATGAACTTTGACTGCCTGGTGCCTCAGCTTTAATAAAGACTGCTTGGTGGGCTAAATGAACATAGGCAGATAAAAGAACAGGTTCAATTTTGCGAGCCTACGGGCTGTTGACGAAGAAAACTTCTTTACCTCTGTTTTCAACTGGTGTGCATCAGTTGTGCAGTAATTCCAGGAAGGGTTTGCCACAGGGCTAAGGGGAGAGGTGAAGTGCAGAAAATTAAATAAATTTGGATCATCAAAAACTGTTGATTTAATCTCTCTGAAGTGTGTTCAGTATATCACCCAAGTCTCATGGTGCTGTGCCAACTCCACAAAATAGCAAATGACTGTGGTTTTCCTCTCTACTGGTGGATGTAGCAGTTCTATTAGGAGCTTTTATTTTTTCTTACCTCATTTTAAAAAGGTAGTTTTGTTTGGTTGGTTTTTAAAATGAATGCTCCTGTTAGCTTATTAATAACAGTTCTACTTTTTTATCCTCATGTCTCTCTTTTTAGATTACATTTCTTTCATGTCCATCAGTTCTCACCTGTCTCTGAATTAGGAAATAGTTTGGGGTGGTGACAGGATATGGGTTTTTTTTCACACTTCTAGCAAATACCTATGTTGCCGTCTGTCTTTGTCCACTGTTTTTATCGGTTCTGTTTTTACTACTAACTCAAGCCTCACTTCCCATAATAATTTCCACTACATCAAAGCCTAGCACATTTTCTTGAAAGTAGTGAAGGTTACCATTAATTTTATCAATAACAGATCACTTTCAAGCTGCTCTCTCCACAGTGACCTGAATACAAATCTCAAATTAAGGACTTTGTCTTCGATATCCATCATGGGACTGGTCTTGTTCTCTTTAAGAATTCCTCTGTCTTGTTTGTATGACCACAAGACCTACATTTGCTACTAGAATTGTAACACTTGGCCAGTAAATGAGAAGTTATACTTCTATCTATAAGCATCTCTTCTGGACCCAGTGTTACTCTTTTAAAATATTTGGGAAAAGTTATAGTTCCTTGACAATTTGCATACTTGTAAACTTCAGATAAGCCTTATTTACTTTTTATTGAGACTATTACTTAGCATTAGCATCCAGTCTTACAAGAAACAATCAATAATGTTTAGTATGTTTATGTGCATGCAGGTTGTCTTTGTGGTAGGGTTTGTGGTTTTTTGACTGTCATGAAGGAACATTTTATTTGATGAAAAAGATACTTCTCTCCCTAGTCAAATGGAATAGAACGTTGTGAAGCTGTGTTACAGATTTTAAAGGCAGAATCCTCACTGGATTTGTTGGATTTTTAAATAGCAGCCTTAAATATAAAATCTGAAGAGAATAGCATAGTACTCTTAGTAATACATAAAAATTATTCTTAGCATTCTTCTGTAAGACTGCTGCCAAAATTCTGGTCCTAGTTACTCCAGAAAGAAATAATGACAATTAAACTAAATCATTAGGCCGACTTGTTTGCTCATGATTTGATTGCCCTTAGAGAAGTCAATATAATATTGAAATTCATTGATTCATTTTTGTCTGTAGAAATGCTGTATTTCTGGTTTCTTTCTAAACCAGACTGTATTATGAAATCAATATTTTGTTGTAGCTGGGAAGTGTCATAAAATTATCTGAGCTCTGTCAACTTATTTATTAAGACTAAAGAGTTTTAGTAAACTGCAGCATTGAAAAAATATGTCTATGCATATTACACTAGTGGCTTTTCTTGCCAAGCTAAAAATCTCTAAACATTTGAAGTACTCTTGTAACTGAAAGATCAGAGGTATCTTTTTGAAATCCTGATATTTCATCATCTGTTTGTTTTGTTTTTGTTGTATGTGGGCAGCCACATTATGATTCTGCTTTATTATAAAGTTGATACATTATTATGTTGGAAGAACATATGATGTGCTTTTATCTTTTATAACTAATTCTTATTTTATGTCCTCTTTCATTTTCTTCAGCTTATATATTTACATCTTAGGTGGTAGTTCTATTAGATAGTCGACTTTTTGGCATTTCCATTTCTCTTATTTCATATTAGTCTATCAGGGCGAATAAAAGATTAGATGTGGAGCTGTTAATTAGCTAAAGGCTATGTATGAAAGTACAACCCAGGTTATATATGGTTTATTTAAATATTTTTGCCACTTACATTTATTGTCTAATCCTGGACTTATCTCCATGTCTCTGCTGTTCCTCTCTCTCCTGGTATGACCATAAGACTTCCAGAAATCTAAAGTTGTCTATATCTAACCCATATTGTTGTGTTTGAAGATTTTATATCAGCTCATCAGCTTCTGAAATCAAGTGGCTGCATTGGGTTGTTTGGTTGGTTTTTTTTTTTTGTTCCTCCTAACTGGATTTCTACTCAGACTTCATCTTTCAAAGTAGTCCCTACAGGTTCAGAAATAGGAAGAGAAAGAAAATATCCAAACCTCATTAGTTTTGCTGTCTTTAGCTTTGCTCAGCCAACTGACTGCTATTGCTGCAATCCTACAATCGAGGCTATAAGTCATCTCAGTACTGAAGAAATTAAAATTATATTTCCTAGGATTTCAGTTGATAGCACACAGAGAAATTTCCAAACCTCGTTTATTTTTCTCTTCAACACTGCTTGGTATTGGAATTTCCTTTTACAAACAGGTAAGAATCACGAATGTGCATCTGAGCACACTAAAAGTAATGATCTAGAGAGGGGCTTCCACATCTACCTCTCTGCTCAGTTTGGATTGCTTAAGGAAAATTTCCATTATTTCCAATAAAAGTTAAAGGGTTTTGGTAGTTAACGGATCTGTTTTATACATATGAGGACGATAAACTAACTCACTGATGCTGAATACTCCTCAAACGCTGCATGGAGTATCAACTGGTAGACCAGCAAAACAGCAGGGTAGCTGCACAAGCACTAACACTTCCATTGCTCACATCTGTCCATCACTGAAAGAGCTGGAAGAGCAAGTGGAGAAATGATTCCTCGCTTGGAACTGCAAGTGTAAAAGAACAGCTCCTGTGCAGGGACCCATCATCTGATTCCAAACAGCAGTCTGAAATGCCTGTATTTGATGGGCCAGCCCCAGTACTCTTTCTGCCAACAGAATAGACAAGATGGCCTTCCTGGCCCCCGTGTCTGCCCAGAGCACTCACCCGGTGTTGGGACTGAGGGTCCACTTGGTGAAGCAGCTATACCTTTGAACTGGAGCACTGTTGACAGCACACTCTTCTTTCTACAGCCAGACAAGGACTGAGCCCAGAGCGAGACCCAGCAGGGCTCACCCTAGGCCTGGATGCCTAGTACCAAGCCCCAGCTGTAGTTGGTGATTTTGGGCTGAGGCTAGGAGTTCCTTCCCCTTGGGGTGATCCTTGTGTCCAGAGGCAACACTCAAGTCTCAGTCATTTTTCCCACATTTCTTCCATCACCCAGGGGCTCCCCTATCGTTTGTGTGGCTGATCCCCACCCCAGCCTGAAGTCCACCACTAGGAGCCCAACTCCTCCAAAATAACCAAATTCCCCAGTTATGATACCTCAAATCCTCCTTTTCCCTGATTTTTTTTTTTTTTTTTTTTTTTCCCTGAGGGAAGGGGCTGAATATCTGCTGAAGATGAGGTTTCATTCCACAGGCTGTAGTTTTACATGCCAGTGCATTTCTGCTTGCCAGATGGATTTCTTGTTTCACAAAGTAGTTTATTCTGCTCCTGATAACAAAATAAGCCCCAGGTGAATCAAGGCATATCAAGACTCCTTTTTTGTTCCTGTTGAGCCCCAGGTAAAAGCATCAGTGGAGACCCACTGGCTCTAATGCTGGCTCAAATCCTCAACTGTCCACCAGTTTTCTCTCTTCTGATCCTGCTTGTTTCTGTATTTTTTTCTGTATCTTAATATAGATTGCACATAGAAGTAATAGTTTGTAATGGAACAGTACCAGGTTTCTTATGCATTGTGTTATAATGAGTTTATTTTTAATATTGACATAATGACTCTTTTTTAAAAAAAGGAAAAAGACAATTATTTCTCATGTCCATAGGAGTGCAAGTTTCATTTTCTGATTTCCCAAATAGCTGCCCTTGTCTCCTCTAAAGGCTACTCCATGCTGGTTTTTGAACATTATCAAATAAAAATAATTTTAAATTTTGTAATCTGTCCCTATTGCTGGTCTTTGTACTGTGGATCATATTTGTCATTATCATAAATAAAATTCATATTTATGAACATAGATCTTGGAGTAAACTGCCAGATGCAGGGTTGACTACCACTGCCAATTTGTTGTCTGTTGTGTTAGGAAAAGGCAGAATAACTTAGTTCTGTATATTACAGAAGAATAAACACTTAGATTTAATCAGAATTAAAGATAAAAACCATTGATTATGAAAAAGTTCTGTTAAGAATGTAAATGTTTTTGTTAGTCTGCATCTAATAGTACTGGCTGCCTGTTGTTAGGCAGTAGGAGCTACTATATGGCTGGAAAAATCTTACTCTACTTTTGCTTTCTTTTACATTTAGGGTATGCATGAACTTCTAGCTCCCATTGTCTTTATCCTGCATTGTGACCACCAAGCTTTTTCACATGCCAGTGAAGCAGCACAACCAAGGCAAGCATTTATGTTTTATTTGTATAATATCAAAAATCTACCTTCTTAAAAATAAAAATGAAGTTGGCTGGACTAGAACTTAAAAATGTGTTCCTTAATTCTTTGTTTAGAATTAATAAATTTATATCAGAAATTGTTATGTCCTCCTGCTTTGATGGAAATGTCCTTATTTCATCTTCCCTATGACAGCTTCTGAAAGGGGGATTGAAAGTGTAGACGTTAGTCTCTTCACAGATAGATATTAGCTGGCAAAAAAAGAGGAAACAAGAAACCTAAGGAAAACCTTAATCAAAAAAAACTTATATACCTGCCTAGCATTTCACCTTATTCTGATTGCCAGAAATGGTTTCAAGTTTATCATTGCAGAGAGGAAAGAGATTAGAGAACTAGTCACAGAACAAACATCTTAGCAACTCTCTTCCCTCATATCTTAAAATAGCACCAATATAGACAAATTGTTGTGATTGATATTTCTTTTATTACCTGCAGTGCTGTAGCTGCAACATGTGATTGTCCTTTAACTTGGTAGTAACATTAAGTTTAGCTATTGATTCTCCATTTCACTCAGGCTGCATCTGTGCACATGTAATCATACACTTGTAAAATATTGCATGACACACAGTTGCCTGTCAGCCAAATTCCGTTGCCTTTTTTCTTACCCTATATGTAAAGCTTCTTTAATATTTTTCTTTAAAAAAAAAAAGAGTAGTTGCCTTCTTGTGCCAATTGTGATACTTAGGTAATTTCTTTTCATTTATCATTTGCACTCTCCTTTGGAGTCCAAACAGTGCATAAAAGCCAATTTAATTACATGTACTATATAATATAACCTCTGTTAGCACCCCTCAATTTGGTTGTCTAAAGGCAGTTAAGCATAAGGATGGAGATTATTTACGAGTGTCTGTTTTTATTCAATGTCTGTCCATAGATATCCTGAAATTACCTAGAAGATGCTCTTCAGTGCTAAGTAACTTAAAGTAACATTGTATTATTCACAGCATTCTGTTCCATACCCACTGAAAAAGTAGAGCTAAGCAGCAAAGTCAATGGAAAAGAGGTGCTGTCACTGATTAATTGCTGTTAAAGTACAATAAAAATACAGGCTATTAAAACAAAATAAATTAATGTTTTGATACTGCATATTTGACCAGTAACCATATTTTTTTTCTGTTTGGGACAAACAGTGATAGATTGTGCAGCAATCAATTATTCTAGATCAAGCATATTCAAATAATACATTGTGACATTCAGTAATTTGTTATTTGGAATAATTAGATGGTTACTTCATTGTAGTGCAGACAAGGCAGCTAATTTGTTTTTGATCTTTATAAAAAGGAAAGACTTCATTTGTTCAATGGAGTTGCTCTTTTTAATTAAAAAGGCTAGTTTTCTCATTTGCACTTTATATGAAATTCGGCTTAAATACATAATAGTACATGCAGAACGTTGACCAAAAATAAACATTCACATTTGGATTGTTCACTGTTGCCTTTTTCAGTGAGGAAATGAAAGTTCTTTTGAATCCTGAATATCTGGAACATGATGCCTAGTAAGTTTCAACAACTTCCTTTACATTCAATTTGCTCTTATTTGTAATACATTATTTAACACCAAGTTTCTGGGTTTTTCCTCTTCAGTGCAATGTTCACACATCTTATGAAAACTGCAGAACATTGGTTTTCAACATTTGAACATGAAAGTCAGAAGGTAAATAATCTAAAATGTATTTTTAACTAAATGTGACTTTTAATATGGCTGAAGTAGTTTGAAACTAATAAAGAATCTTCTCTTAAAACAACTTGGTTAAAGCAGGCTCAACCCAGTTTACATTCTTTAGATGTTCCTCAGAATTTGGTCATAAGGTCTTGTGGAAAGTCTTCCAGTTGAGAATTCCTATCTGTTGAAAGATCACTTTGTAATCAAAAGCTAAATATGCATACACAGATTCTGCTATGTATGAGTGATGCTTTAGTGTAGCGTTCGAAAGAACGACTGTTGTAGGCACATCTGTGTGCCCAAAACCTGTGCAAATGCCACATTGAATAAATGCATATGGGCAGTGGTTAATGTTGTGAGACTTTAATTTTTCTCAGCTGTTTACAATATAACGAATTTGCTGTCAAACCCAAACTTTAGTCATAGACTGTCCATCAGAGATCAGAGTGCATATTTCTCTGACTTCACTCCATTTCCTTTCTTTTTTTTTTGTTCTTGGCCTCAGACTGTTTAAAGAGAGGGAATGTCTGTGCCCCTGGATCTCCTGTGTGCCCACACAGACACCACTGTATTTACTATGTTGCTTCATTTCATAGAAAGCTTTTTCTGTGTTCTGGGTTTAGTTCCACAGAACTCTTCTTTGCAAGGACCTTCTAGGGACTGTCTAGTCCCTCCTGTAACTGTTTTTCTTTCATGGCATGAAGGACAATTCCCTCAATCAATTGCTCGAGGTTTCCTTTGAATACT